CAAAAAAAAAAAAATAAGCCAAAAAACTGGTGATCACAGGGTCTTATTGTATTCATATCTTCCCACAGGATGCAGTTTGTATTACCCAATTGAGCCCAGGTGTTTGAGACCAGCCTGGGCAACATAAAGAAACTCATCTCCATCAAACAAAAAAAAAAAAAAAAAAAAATTAGCCAGACATGCTGGCGTGCACCTGTAATCTCAGATTCTCAGGTGGCTGAGGCAGGAGAAGTGCTTGAACCTGAGAGGCAGAGGGTGCAGTGAGCCACGATGGTGCCACTGTACTGCACCCTGGGTGACAGAGGGAGACTGTTTCCAAAAAAAAAAAAGAAAAGAAAAAAAATTAGCTAATAGATTCATTACTGAAAAATTAAGTTGCAATAAATACTTACAGTATAATCTTTTTTTGTAAAAAACAAGAGACTATGTATAACATGTATACATTAGTACAAACAGTGAAAAGTCTGGTAGGGTATACAAAAGTGTTTTAACAGGGTGCTGTTTGGGTAAGCAGAGGGCATGACAGCTGCGGACAGAGACACTTTTACTTCTTCCCATAAATACTTACGTATTGTTTAAATGTGCTACAAAGGCATGTATCACCTTGCTAATTTAAGAACACCCTATACATGAATTTTTTATCTGTTTTTTGAGATAGGGTCTTGCTCCATTGCCCAGGCTTGAGTGCAGTAGTGTGATCATGGCTCACTGAAGGCTCAATCTCCTGGGCTCAAGCCATCCTCCCCTCAGTCTCCCAAGTAGCTGAGACTAGAGACATGTGCCACCATGCCCAGCTAATTTTTAAAATTTTGTAGAGATGGAGGTCTACATTTCCAAAGCTGGTCTTGAAGTCTTGGACTCAGGCGATCCTCCTGCCTCAGCCTCAGAAAATGAAATTACAGGCATGATCCACCACACCTGGCCCCTATAAGTGAATTTCTGAAAAGCTTTGCTTTAGGCTATATAATACTTCAGAGCAGACTGAAAGGTTTAGGGGTTGAATAGTTTTGTGGTATCGCCTGAATCTGATTTTATAATGTAATTTCTTTGTAAGTATTATTATCTATTTCTTGAAAATTAGTAGTAGTGATAATAAAATGTCAACAAAACCAAGTTTGACTAGCTTTTATGCTGTTTAGTTATGATTTAGTGAGGTAGAGTGGTTCTTACTACATTTGCTGACCCATTAAGCACAAAATATTTAATACTCTATTTTCAATGTCTTTCTTGGTTAATACCACCAAATTGAAATACCAGGTTTCAAGTACATATATATAACATCTAGTATGTGAATACTTAAGCTGACACAAGGCGAAAACAAAATATATTTAATAAACGATTAGAATTCACAAAGCATTTTAAGTACTCACCTGAAAAATGTTCTTGGTCTACACCATTACTACTTCCCATCATATTACAGAACTGTGTATTCGTTATCAAATTGTGCATCCCAAGAATTGCTATATAGAAAAAGAAAGTTTTTATTGTTTTAAATGTGAAGAGTTTTACAATTAAAAATTTCTATCAATAATTTTAATATTCTCTGGACCTTTTCCTATAAATTATAGATCACACACACACAGAAGAACAAAATGATTAAAAATCACCTACAATCTCATTCTCATCAATACTTATTATTTTTCCCCACATTTCTAAATTTACATTTCCCCGCATTTCCAAAATCAGAGTTGGAGGCAGCCTAATCTTGAACGTAAATCTATGCTTAGCTCCATCTGGTGGCTAAGAGAGAAAATGGAAAGGATCTATTTTTGCCGTTAATTTCACAAGGTTTCTAGGAACATCATGTGACAAAAAGCAGATTTTCAACTTAACCTTCATATTTTAATGTATGTTAATCTCATGTCATTAATTTGCATTTGGACTCCAGTTAAGAGTAAAATACTAAAGTATTAGGTTCTTATATGTAAGAATATGAGCACCCTTCAAATATGACAGGAGGAAAAATAAATTTGGTTTTAGTTTTTGATGCCCTTGTGTACAAATAAGGCAGAAGTCAGAGGATGTCCTTGACTTCTTGTCTTGGCTCATTCCACTCTGATGAATGTACTATTTACAGATCTGTCAGTCCTCAGTCCCTCAACGCAAAGACTCCTGCTCTGGCTGTGGCATCACACCTTGACCTGTCCCCTTCCAAGGTCCTTCCCAAAGGCCCATCAGTGCTACATTCAAACTTAATAGTTCTTGGGGTTATTTGGTATGAAGAACTCCCCATGCATCACACTTTTCTATCTAGGAAAGTAGGTCGTACATGGGTACGGAGGGGAAGATACTGGTCTAGATAAGAAATTGGCAATAATGAAAATAATAGAGAGGTTTGGAGTGTTTCATATACACTTCAGAAAAGTTGGGAAGGTGGTGAGTATAGCTCAGAACTGACTGCTTCAATCTACTTTCTAGTTACTCATCTCTCAGTCTTCTGATAAAGTAGGTCAGCAGTTGACCCTGAAGACTCTTTTTCGGTGTTCAGATGGGACAGCTTCTAGCTGAGCACCAGCTGATGAAAGATTTTTAGAAAGACTTTCAAATATGACAACATGGGAAAAGGTGTCGAACAATACAAATACATTCTCTTAACATAAACATTTCACTATTGAGAGTATTTAGAGAAATGAAACTCTTTATGTCAGCTTTATCGTGTAAAATATAAAGCCAAATATGTGGTTACTGATTCAACAGCACTTGCTAGGTAAAGAAAACATCTGTATCATGTATATAGGTATGTGCTGGTATTTCCCACTCCACCCCACGTTTATTCACAAATTAAATTGTTTTAGGTGATACCTGCGAGGTCACATAATTCTGTATCAGAAGCACTTGTCAAAGCTTCTTCTAATTCTGGATCAAGAGACACTTTTTCTTCTGTAAAAGTCTGTACAGGTTTTTGTTTGGGGATAAATATTTTCCCTGTAAAATAAAGCACTTTGTTAATTCCACTATTACTGCTATTAACTCATTACCATTTTATCCTTGTAACCAAAGTATGTATAATTGAACCTGAAGGAAAAGATTAACATTAACAGTAATTTTGTTTTATCTCTGACATAGATTTTTAAGTTTCCAGTGTAATATTTTGGCTGTAAAAGTTGGAAAGAAAAGGTCAACTGAGAAACTTTTCATCTGTGGAAATAAAAATGGGCTCTTTTTAGAGTAATTGCGAGTTGCTTTACAAATAATCAATCAATAAATGAAGGAATAAACAAAAAAACCTATAAAACTTTAAAGAGATTGAAAAAAAAAAACCCCCAAAAAAACCAGATTCCAATTTCCTTTTTTTTGAGATGGAGTCTCACTCTGTCACCCAGGCTGGAGTGTTGTGGCGTGATCTTGGCTCACTGCAACCTCTGCCTCCTGGGTTCAAGTCATTCTCCTGCCTCAGCCTCCTGAGTAGCTGGGACTACAGGCGTGCACCACCACACCCGGCTAATTTTTGTATTTTTAGTAAAGACGGGGTTTTGCCATGTTGGCCAGGCTGGTCTTGAACTCCTGACCTGAGGTGATCCACCCGCCTTGGCCTCCCAAAGTGCTAGGATTACAGGTGTGAGCCACCGCGCCCGGCCCCAATTTCTTATTATTAAGCAACAAACTGTTACTGTCACATGGGGGATGGCAGAGACAATTATGATTCTAGAAATTCAAATTCTGATTGCAAATAAATTTCTACGTCCTGAGTGGCACTCTGAAATTTTTAGTCATTATTCCTCCAAGCCTCAGTGTACATGAACAAGAAACTAGTTACTTTAGAAACCTAAAGACTTTATCATATGAAAATCATGTTTATGACCATATGTTCTATGCAAGATTGAAAATACGAAGGGAATGGAAAAATGCTAATAATTATAACTGCAGCACTAGCTGACCAAACAAGATGTACTCACACAACTTGGGTTACTAAGCTTGCATAGAACAGAATACCCAATTAAAGTTGGTTTAAACTGGTGCTTCAAAAGCTCTGATGTTCATGTTAGTCACCAGGGATCTTACTAAAGTACAGACGCTGATGCAGCAGGTCTGAGTAGGGCCTGAGATTCTGCATTTCTAACCAGACTTCCAGATGATGCTGATCCACAGACCACTCTTAAAGCAATAAGGGTTCAAACAACATGAAGTTTTATTATCTCACTTAATAAGCCCACAGGAAGGTGGTTCTAGGGTTGGTTTAGTAGCTCACTGTTGACATCAAGGATCCAGGTTCCTTTGTTTTTCTCTTTGGCTATTCTCAGTGTGGAGGCCTTTGTTCTTAGGCCTTCACAGTCTCAAGATGACCTTTGTAGCACCAAGTATTATGTCCCCACACAATAAAGCCAGAACAGGAAGGAGTTCTTTTTCAATTGCCAACTTTTTTTAAGGCTAGTCAAGTGAAGCAGCGGGAGTAGAAATGGAACAAATAAATCTGTAACTGGTTGTGATCAATTAGCTGTAACCACCACTGCACTTGGACCACCCTCAACTGCCAACTTTTACAAGAAATCCTGCACTGCAGATTTTTCCTTTGGTCTATGCCCCAGCTGCAAGGGTGGCTAGGAAAGCAAGCATCTGTGAATGGTTGTTAAATGGGCAACTATAGTGTGTGTCCCAAACTGAAACCAACTAAAGTACTTTTATATTCCCTCAATTCCCTGAACATTTCACCATAGCTACACTTAGACATTGTGCAATGTGTTTGTCTTTTGCATGCTTTTCAAGGGGATGCTGTATGTTCTGTTCATCCCTGCATCCTTGCCTAGAACACAATAGGCAATCCAATTTGCTGAATAAACAATTTGGTGATCACCTTCAGTCCAATGACCCCATTTTATAAAGTATAATTTAAATACATGGGCTCAAAGTCACACAGCAGAGCTAATACTAGAACACAGGTTGTCAAACTCTTAAGGCCAGGGCTTCAGTGCTTTTTCCAATTAACTGGCGGCTCACAAACTTGATTTTTTTAGCAACAGACTTTCCCCCCGCAAACAAATGCCCACCTATATGGTGGTATGTATAACTGATCTTAGTACCAAATTTTGCAATTCTGGTGACTGGATAATCTTTTATTATTGGTTCACAGGTAAAGAGAAATCCAAATCATTATGTCCTGATAATTCCATACTTTTCTTAGTGGTTGAGATTACAACTAAAGTGACATACATTTCAGGGGGGCATAATTTTAATTGCCATTTCAGGATAATTACATTTTCCTTAGCTCAATCTACCAGTATTTTCAACTGTGTATGGCAGTAGTTCTAAATGTTATATGCACAGTGGCTTCACTGTGAGAGCTTTAAAAAATTCTCATGTCCAAGCCCCACTCCAGAGATGCTGGTTTAGTTAATCTTGTATGCTGCATGGGCAGCTGAATTTTTTAAAGCTCTCTAGGGATTTTGATGCATAGCAGCCAAGGTTGAGAGCAACTGGATTATGGTATTCACTGACTAAACAAAACTACTCAAGCTACTTGCCACAAAAAATGATCAGTATATGAGGTAATATGTATGTCAAATTTAATTTAGCTGTTCCACAATGTGTACATGTAAAAAAAGTTATACACCATAAACAACACAATTTTTACTTGCTAATTTAAAAAAAAACTACACAAGCTATCAAATAGCTGCCCATGTCTTATTTGAGGGACTGATGGAATCTAAAGCACTATAAAAATCTAAGATGCTTATTTTTTATAATCCTTATACACATTCCTTAAGAGGCATTATTCTTATCTAATTTCCCCCATACATAAATTTTTGCTAATGCTTACAAATACAAAATGAATCTCGGCAGAAAAATCAGTAAGGCAAAACAAAACTCCCAACGACCTAGAAAAATTTTTCTGTCATACAGAATTTTGCTCGATTTCATAGAGTTCTGACATAGCTTGGCACCTCTTCTGGCACTCCTCTTTGGCACTTTGGCAGGTCAAGGTGGGTGGATCACCTCAGGTCAGGAGTTCAAGACCAGCCTGGCCAACATGGCAAAACCCCGTCTCCACTAAAAATACAAAAATTAGCCTGGTGTGGTGGTGCACGCCTGTAGTCCCAGCTACTCAGGAGACTGAGGCAGGAGAATTACTTGAACCCAGGAGGCAGAGGGTGCAGTGAGCCGAGATCACGCCACGACACTCCAGCCTGGGTGACAGAGTAAGACTCCATCTCAAAAAAAGGAAATTGGATTCTGGTTTTTGGTTTTTTTTTAAATCTCTTTACATAATTTTTCTGTATGTAGAGATTTTTGCTATAGAGCGATTTAGCTTGTACAATATTGTTTTTTAAAATACAAAAAGTAATTACTTCATATTTTCTTCTAGGTTAGTTGAACACTAATACACTGTAATAAGTTATCTTTTAATGCATATATATGAAGTTTAGTTATAGAAAAGTAGAAGTAAAGAAATTAATTTTGTAAGAAAGGATAAACTAGGAAGGACCTAAGTTAGTATTATGAATACAAAACCTAAGGGGCTCTCAGCAAATTAATTTATAGATTTACACAATCTCTTTCAAAATCTCAGTTGGTTTTTTTTATAGAAAGTGACAAACTGATCCTAAAATTCATATGGAAACCCAGAATAGCCAAGAACACAGTTGTAAGTAAGACTTAAACTTCCCAGTGTCAAAATTTAATGCAAAGCTACTATAATCAAAACGGTGTGGGTGCACTAGGAAAGACATTTAGATCAACAGAATATAACCAAAAATCCAGAAATAAACCCTTATACTTATGGTTGATTTTCTACAGGAATACCAAAACAATTCAATGGAGAAAGAACAGTGTTTCAACAAATGGTACTAAGACAACTGCACAGTCACATGCAAAGTTTTTTGTTTTTGTTTTTTTTCTTTTGAGAGAGTCTCTCACTTGGTCACCCAGGTTGGAGCGCAGTGGTGCAATCTCAGTCCAATGCAACCTCCGCCTCCTGGGTTCAAGCGATTCTCATACCTCAGCCTCCCAAGTAGCTGGGACTACTAGTAGATGGGGTTTTGCCATGTTGGTCTTGGTCAGGCAGGTCTTAAACTCCTGACCTCAAATGATCCACCTGCCTCGGTCTCCCAAAGTGCTGGGATTACAGATGTGAGCCACCACTCTTGGCCCTCATATGCAAAGTTGAATCCTTACCTCACACCATACTCAAAATAGATTATAAACCTAAATGGAATGGACATGGTGGCTCACGCCTATAATCCCAGCACTTTGGGAGGCAGAGGCGGGCGGATCACCTGAGGTTAGGAGATCGAGACCAGCCTGGCCAACAAGGTGACACCCCGCCTCTACTAAAAATACAAAAACTAGCCAGGTGTGGTAGCACACGCCTGTAATCCCAGCTACTCAGGAGGCTGAGGCAGGAGAATCGCCTGAACTTGGGAGGTGGAGGTTGCAGTGAGCCGAGATCGCGCCATTCTACTCCAGCCTGGGCGACAGAGCAAGACTCCGACTCAAAATAAATAAGTAAAATAAAAACAAAAACCTAAATGTAAGGGCTAAACTATAAAACTCTTAGGAAAAAAGATAAGATTATATCTCCTTGGGAGGCTGAGGCAGGCGGATCACCTAAGGTCAGGAGTTGAAGACCAGACTGACCAACATGGAGAAACTCCATCTCTGCTAGAAATACAAAAGAATTAGCTGGGCATGGTGGCGCATGCCTATAATACTAGCTACTCAGGAGGCTGAGGCAGGAGAATCGCTTGAACCCAGGGGGCAGAGGTTGCGGTGAGCAAAGATAGTGCCACTGCATTCCAGCCTGGGCAACAAGAGCGAAACTCTGTTTCAAAAAAAAAAAATTTATATCTCCGTGACCTTGAGTTAGGCAATGGTTTTTAGATATGACACCCAAAGTATAAGTAACAAAAGAAACATAGATAAATTGTACTACATCAAAATTAAAAACTTCTATGGGGCAAATTATACCATCAAGAAAGTGAAAAGACAAT